AGGAACTCTCATTTTTTATTGCAGATTTGGATTCTCCAGAAGAATGTATTAGTATTCTTACCGCAGAGCTTTGCAATTTGATCTACAGATGGTGCTGCAATCTTAAAATTGAAATGAAGTGCAAATCATTTAAAATGGAATTATTTCGAGAAATTTTTGTTAGGTAAAAAAAATAGTATTGTTTTGTAATTAATACCCAATTAAGAGATGGGTAAATATTATATTTTCACCAATAACAATATTTAAGATCATGTCTTTTTGATATAAGTTATGACTGATTAGTTTTTCTCCCTAAATATAATTTTTTTTTTAATTTTGAGATATTGGAGCTTCGAAAAATCAGTCTAGCTGGTTGTCATAGAGACTAGTATTAAGATATTAAAAAAACTAATTTTAAGTTTTAAATCTAAAAATTTTGTTGATTATTAGATAATTTTACAGTCCTATTAAAATTACTAAATAAACTAAATGCTAAATGAATATTAATTTATAGATATTTTAATTGCAGTCTCGGTCTATGCTTTTCATTAACTTAATAAAACAGTATTTGCATAACTTTTTTTGCCTTACATTTAAAAAATAATTACATTAAAAAATAATTTCTTCTTTAGAATAATTTCAGTGTGTATAATACTTCATAATATAAACCTCCTGGCAATTATTCAAATTGAACCGTTGAAGCAGACGCAATCCTTACGAAATTTTTAAATTAAGGTGAGAAGGAGTTTGTGTCTAAAAATAATCATAGATTACCAATGTCTCTTATTCTTAGCAAGTAATGAACAATTATTTATAATATATTTTCATTAAGATTGGCATATGCAATTATACTTTTTTAAAAAAAACCATACAATGCTAATTCTAAATATCTTAAAGATTAAAAAAATTAGCTAATGCTCACCAGATACGAGAAACATGCATTTCAGCTTTAATATTTTCCCTGGCATCTTTTAAGGTGATCGTAATATTTTCATGCTTGTTGTCGGGGCATCTGGTTTTGAATGCGGCTACTTTTATTCTAAACGCCTGGTGGGCGTCTGAAATATGCATGCAGGAGAGCAGAAATAAGATAAAAGGATATATTCTTTTAAAATATCAGATCAATTTCAATGATGTAAATAGATTATAAATACTATACAGTAAAAAAAAAGTTTCTCACGAAAATCTAATGGAAATTATTTATTAAGAATGCAAAATTATTGAAAATTAACTACAAGAAATTTCTGTAAAAATACAAAAACAAATTCATAACAGACGCAGTAATTTTATAAAAGTAAAGTTAAAATAAAACTATGTAAATTGCACTTAAGATATTGCAATTGTAAATTGCACTTTTTTAACTTAAGAATACATTAGAAATCATTTATCAAGAGTATCTGATGAAATAAAAATGAGTTAATGACGGAAAATCTTTATGAAAATAGAAGAACATATTCACGGAAGAATGAGTAACTTTGCGGAAGTTAAATAAGTAAAGCTATATAAATTACACTATAAAATAGTTTTAAGCAAAGAATCCACTGGAAATCAGTTGCTTTGAGTCTCATGTAAAATTAGAGTGTTTTAAATACTGAATTTTTTTTTAAATAGAGAAAAATAGGGGCGAAAGACTGAATTGCTCTACTGAAGTAAAGTAAGTAAAACTATGTAAATTACACTGTAAAATGTTCTAGGTGAGAATCCATAGGAAATAAATCTGTAATTTAATGCAAAATTAAAGTATTTTAGAGGACAGGATACTTTTTGTAAAAATGGATAAACATATCGACGAAAGACAGAGATACTCTACGACAATAGAGTTAGTAAAATTTTGTCAAGAGTTTTTTATCGGAGAAAGCAATGACAATCAGTTATCTGGAGTTTCATGTAAAATTATAATGAATTAAAATCGGAAAATATTTTGTAAAAATTGAGAAACATATTCACAAAAGACTGAGTAACTTTAGGGTAGTAAGTAGAACTATGTAAAATACAGTTTAACAGTTTTTAACGTCAGAATACATACATTAGAAGTCATTTGCCTGGAGTTTTTGGTAAAAATAAGAGTGAATTAAAAACAGGAAATCTTTTCAAAAATAGAATAGCATGGTTACTGAATTTTATGGATGAAAGCAAGTAAAACTTAGTAAATTACACTGTAAAAAGTTATATTTGAGAATCCACTCGAAATCAGTTGTCTGGAGTTTTATGTAAATTTAGAGCAAATTAAGTACGAAAAATGCTTCGTAAAAATAGAGAAACATATTCACAGAACACTGAATAACTTTACGGAAGGAAAATGAGTAAAAATATGTAAATTACACTTTAAAGTTTTTTAACGTGAGGATATATTAGAAATCATTTATCAAATTTTTTTTCTTGTGACTATGGTAAAATATGAGAGAAGTAAAAACGGAAAAATTTTGTAAAATTAAATAGCCATATTCGCTACAGACTAAGTAACAGTATGGAAGTAAAGTATGGAAAACGTGATAAATTAAAATTTGTAATGTTTTTATGTGAGAATCCAGCTGTCGGTAATCTCATGTAAAATTAGAGTGAATTGAAAATGGAAAATATTTTGTAAAAACGCAGAAACATATTCACAGAAGACTTAGTAACTAAACAGATGTAAAGTAAGTAAGACTATATAAAATGCACCGTAAAAAGTTTTTCAGTAAGAATCTATAACGAATTTATATATTTTATCAGATAATTTAAAAATCAAGCCTTTCCAAATAGCAACCTTCTTTTTGCAATCTACCAGGCTGATTGGGAAAGTCACCAAAGTACTTGTTTATTATCCCGTTGACCATTTTTGCCAACATCGTGTCAAAGTCATTTTGGTGTTTTTCAAATTTATTTTAACATGGTAGATTATAAAGAAATTTAAAAAATAAAAAGAATACTTATTGCATGTAAAAATTGAGATAATTAAATATGAATCATTTTCAAATTTATATTTAGATTTGGTGAATTCGGTCAACGGGATAATAAAGTACAGACAGTATGTTTTAATCAGCTTGGTATTTTTTGTGCTTCTTATAATTAGCCCACTTATCTTAAAAATAATTAGATAAATTAAATATTTTATTAAATTAGCCTGATTCATTTTAAGCCATATTCAATGGACCTACAGTGCTAGGGTTTAACAGAATGAGATCACAGTGAGAGAGATTAATGCAATAAGTTGAGTCAAATGAAAGCTTTTTAAAAATACTTAAAACAAGAAGAATAAGCTCAAATTAATTCTAGCTTTGATTTTCTTTTCAAAGAGCCGACAGAGGACAAGGATTATTGCAACATTGCTAAGTAAAATTAGGCAGATTTAGTAATTAACACGTTTTTTTAACTTCCGATAAGCATTTGAGCTGATTGTTAAAAACCTAATACTGGACACTTTTCTAAATGACCTTCCCTCTTGAAAAATGGCGATGACCCGGTAGACCGGACTTTGTAGCTACGTATTTGATTATCGCTAAAAAATAAAACTGCATGAAGACAAATTTATCTTTTAAACGATAAAAAAGTTTCTTTAGTAAGACAATGCGATTTCAATTTTATCTATTTTGTGCATAAAACAGCTTTTTGATTGTTTCTCTGATCAATTAAGAAACTTTATCTCTCGTATCCTTAAGTGCTATTTTTAGAATGGATAATACTTGGAAAGAAATGTCTAAAATTGTCAAACCAGTGAAAATTAATGAATGTTTTTCTTAAAATGTAGAAACAAAATAAGTTGGTTGTATGTTGTGTGAAAAACATTAATGTAAAAAATAAAAGGTGTTAAAAAAGTACAAACATGCATTGTAAGCTATGTTTATTTTGCACACGCGAATTTTGAGTTGTATCTATTTATCTATAAATGCATCAGATTTTGAGCTATTTCTAATTTCTTAAACATTCAATTTAACCTGTATTTATTTTCTTACATATGCATTTTTAGCTATATATACACCGAAGAGCCATTACATTATGACCACCCTGCTAATAACATGTATGACCACCTTTAGCCCTTAAAACTGCTAGCATCCTCCGTGGCATTGATTCCACAGGGTGCTGATAGGTAGTCTGAGGTATCTGGTACCAAGCTCTCACCAACTGGTCCTGCAATTACCTCACATTGCGAGGGGGTAGCGTGGCAACACGAATTTGGTTTTCCAAGTAGGATAACAAATGCTCTATTGGATTAAGGTCAGGTGAATTTGGGGCCAAGACATGACTTGAAAGTCACTGGAATGTTCCTCCACGATTCGACCCTTATGACATGGTGCATTATCCTGTTGACAAACATAATCCCCCGCAGGAAAAACTGTTGCCATGAATGGGTGAATCTGGTCTGCAACTATGTTCAAGTAGCTTACAGACGTCAGGGATAGTTCTATGAGGATTATGGGTCCTAATGTGCCCCATGAAAACATCGTTCCTGGATGAGAAACCATGAAAACCTGAGCGCGCCCATTGTTATAGATGGAGGGTGGTCATAATGGAATGGCTCTTCGGTGTATTTTCCTACACTCCAATTTTGAACTATAAACATTTTCTTACGCTCTCACTCCATGCTTTGTCCATTTCCTACTTGAATCATTTCGTGCTATGTCTATTTTCTTATACACACATTTTGGGCTAAATATATTTTCTTACATTTGCATTTTAATCTGTCTACTTTTTTTACACACGCATTTAAGCTATGTATAAGTTTTTACACATACATTTTAAGCCATGTCTATTTTCTTTCACTCGAATTTAAGACCATGTCTACTTTATTACGCGCGAATTTTAAGCTGAAATTGAAAAAAATAATTCACTGATATGTTTTGAAAGGATTATGAATCTGTCCTTCAATTGAAAAAGCAGTTCGTGATTACTCTAGATTTATATAGTTAAAAAAGACAATGCTTCAAAGTTAAAAGATGAGTGCGCATTTGATAAGTGAACAAGCATTTTTCAAAACAAATTTGATAAAAGTAGCTCACAGTGATTTCCCAAATGAAAAAAGAAAATATTTAATCTAAGAGATAACTTTATTTTCAGTGTCATTCAGATAACTCCAAATTTTGTGCTTTGTTTTGTTTTAAAAGAAATAAATAACCGTATGTCTAGCACATATATAGATTCAGTCATAATTTAATTTTTAATGTAATTATTGATGGTAATTTAATTTCACGATGTTAAACCAGATTTTTGCTGGAAGTTTAGTGAAGAATGAAATTTTAGTTGGTGTTATCGTTCTTGTCGTCGTATATTTCATAACGTCTGTAATTAAAAGGCTGGGAAGAAAACTTCCTCCAGGGCCATATGGGTTACCTATACTCGGGTATGCACCATTTATGACAAAGAAGCCTTATTTAAAGTTTATTGAACTGAGTAAGAAGTATGGGGACATATTCAGGTTAGTAAGATGGTTTATTAATTTGTTTTTGATTACTTAAATTCTTGTTCAATCTCCATTCTTAAATACCACTAAAATTATTTTATTTAAATTTTATATTTCATGCCTTACCGAACGGCCTGCGTAGGGGGCAAGGAACTCTCTTCTTGCATCAGAAAGGTCCTGGGTTCGAATCCCGGGCAAGGCATGGATGTTTCCTTCTCTCTTTATGTGCTCTATGTCTTTTCTCCTTTTTGTGTTAATGTGACCCGGCCTATAAACGGGTTGTGGTTGTGTGAATGGCGTGGCAGAAGTCGAGTTCCTGGCCATAGATGGCGCCACTGAAAAACAGGAACAATCGTACCCCCACTGTCTAAACTGGCATACGACAAAAAAAATTCATGCTTTTGAGATATGAATGATTTTTGATGAAAGTTTTGAAAAAATTAAAAGTTCTCAGCTCATAACTTTTTTTTAAAACATTTTCTGCCAAAGATATGTATTAGCACTTATCACAGTGTAAAGATGTAGTATAAGTATTCTTTGGAAAAAGAAACTGAAGCAATATTTTGTTTAGATGCTGAGAAAAGATACATTGAGAATGGTCAGTTTTAGTATTTATATGCCCCACTGACTCCTCAAGTTAAACTTATAAATAACTTGCCAATTTATGAACAAAGCTAAACAACCCGAATTAAGCAAAATATTGTACATTCTGTGTTTTGATTCTGCCGACCAGGTGATCGAGTGGTTAGCGTGTTTGACTGCGGAGCCATTGGTCGCGGGTTTGAATCCTGCTCAGGGCATGGATGTTTTTTTCTCTCTGTGTGTTCTATGTCCTTTCCTCTCCTCTTGGTGTGAATGTGTGAATGTGACCCGCCCTGTAAACGGGTTTGTGGTTATGTGACGTGGGCGACGCTGCTCCACCGCCGTGGCTTCGCTACAGGTGCCCACTGGGTAACGATTAGAGAGTAGCAGTTCTGGCATTTTTGTGGTCAATGGGACAAACCCCAAGTGCCCGCCATTAAAGAAAGAAAGAAAGAAAGTGCTTCGATTCTAAAAAAGGTCCTTGTTTATAAAATGGAAACTATAGTATGTCCGCTCTTTCGCTATTATTTGTACTTTATTTACGTTGTTTATATTTTATTCATACAAAGTAAACCCTATATTCATTTGGATACTCCAATTTTTATTTCAGTATTAATCTAGGATACAGGAGATGGATTATATTGAACAGTTCTGAAGCTATTAAAGAAGCCTTGCTAAAGCCTGAGTTTTTAAGTCGACCGCCATATGGTGTATTTACATTATTCAAGAAAGAAAGTAAGTATTAGTTCATGAAATATGCTCATGAATTAATACTTTCATATTTGTTTTATATTATTATAAATTACAGGGTGTGGTTATTAGTTCATAGAATTGATTCTGAACAGATTGATCGGGGGACTCCTGAAAATATAATTAAATTTTATACCCATTGAAATTTTTTTGAAATAACTTTCTCCTGGTGCAATGTTTGTACTTGGAGAAAAAATGATCAAACACAGCTTTTAACACCTGGTTCGGAAAATTTTTTTAATTTTGAGTTTATAATTTTTTAATTAAATTTAATAAAAATTTTTTTTTTCTTATGACTTTAATCAAATATTTTTAAATCTCTTTTAAAAAATTTGCAAATTTGTCAATAACCTCGCAGTTATTGTTAAATTTTTCTGATTTAGTGAATTTGTGGGATGGGAGAGGAATCGTTCACCATACAGTTCAGATAAATCTCTTGGAAACACTTTTTTTCGTAAAAAATAGTAAATATTCTAAAAATACGAGGTTTAAAGAGGTCGAAGACATTGTGGCGTAACTACCACTATGAAAATTCAACATCAATTCACTGGTATATAAGACTTGCTAACTTGATTCAACCACGAGGTACCTTTTGGTAGATAAAGGTTGACATTGTCGATAACTCCGCCCCCACATTGGTGACCCGGACATGATTTGAACATACAGTAACGCCCACTTCAATCTGGTAACGCCTACTTCGTCGGATGATCCACATTGAACAGTTGACTTGCTACCTGTGACTGCGACATAATCAACCTTCTCACACTGTTGCTACTCAGTCTCATCTCGATTAAACACAACGACTGCCTGTATACACTCGACTGCTAATAGCAATACAGGAGCGACTACGACTGTGAAGTTAATACACCTCTCACATTCAGCACTCAAAAGCCCGGGGATCTTAATTCTAGCTCTCCCGGTTTTTCACAAGTGCAGCAACTAGTGGTATTTGTTCATCGAATTCTATCCCAGACAAAATTCTGGTGGGAGAGTATTATGGTTTAACTACCACTACGAAATTGAAACATCAATTCACTGGTATATCAATTCACATGCTAACTTGATTCAATCACGAGGTACCTTTTGATAGATAAAGGTTGGCATAGTCGTTAACTCCGCCCCCACAACATTAAGAATGACAGAATTGTAGAGAAATCTGAAGGAGGACTTCAAAAGTTGTTCTTAATACTTTTTAACTGTCGAGTACAAAAGTGCAGTATCTGGAGTGATCTGGAGAAAAGTGATCTGGAGAATCAATATTTGTTAAATGGGTTTGTAAGAGCAAGACTAAACTTTACCCGTAACAGTTAAGTTACGGATCTAGACCAGCCTTGCAAAGAATATTTTCAGTAGTAATTAGTGCAGTTTTGGTAAATAATAGCCACACCTTGAATACAAACGCACTGCAATATTTATAACTAATTTTGTGTGAAATTTAGGCCCATTCTTCACAAGTCCTGTTCATGTATGGCAGGAGCAGCGCAAGTTTGTTGTGCAGTCCATGAAAGATCTGGGATTGGGGAAATCTAAAATAGAAGAACATGTCAAAGTACGTATGTAAATAAATTGTTATAGTACTTTATCCAAAGCTGAGAGATTTAGAATTACCGTTTCACCTTTTTTTACGTTTAAGTTTCAAAGTAACTGAGCAAGCTCAGTTTTGAAGAGGTGGAGGTTAGTTCAAAACACATATTTTTGAAGAGTTGTGAAACGGCATTGCAAAATCTCTCTATTTTCATCACCATTTATCGGGGTAGAACTGTAACAAAATGTCAACATAGTGGGAAGAGGTTGAGTTTTATGTTTCTCAAAGGAACGTATTTTATGAACAATCCTTATTCACAGAGTAAGCTTGCAGCATGCAAAAAAAAGTTTTTGTGCTGCATTGTTATATGTTTCTTTCAAAAACAATTTTTATTTTGCTAAGTTGTTGTTTTTAATGAGACTTGTCAATGACAGCAAGCTTGCTTAGTAAAACCAAGCGAAATTAAGGCAGAGGATGCGTTTCTTGTTATTCAGGGGTGCCATCTATAGCCCCAGAATACGACTTCAGTCACACACACACGTCACAGCCCGTTTATAGGGTGGACCCATTCATACATATATTCATTCATCAACAGATCATAATTTTAACCTGAACCACAGTATGATCATTCTCTAATTAAGTTCATCCAAAGCAAATTGCTTTGTAATGGGAATGATTTTGTGACTCGGCAGATTTACCAGTAACATTTACTAAACGGAGAGTCTTCGGCTGGCAGGGAGCAATTTCATGACCTTTTTCACATGGGCTCAACGCCCTACCTACCAGGCTATCCTGGTCATTTTGGTAAGTTCTTCGCTTTATAGTTTTGAACATCTAAGTTTGTAATACCTGTAAATTTTTTGTGGGATCATAAAAACATCATCAAATAAAGCAACAAACCTGCATGCATTAATGTTCACTGTTTTTATTGCCTATTATTCTTTAAAAAAATTACCACTAAGCTGAATGAGTTTTCCAGGAGGTAAATGTATAATTAAATTCATGAATGATCAATGCAAAAGAAAAGTTTGATGTATTATACTGATAATTGAACTTTTTCCAAATGTGATAATTTTGATTCCAACTGCCATTTAGTATTGTTTCTTGATAAGTTCTTTAAAGGTTTCCAGGATATCCACAAAAGAAAAAAAACAATACATATTTAGAATTATCTTATTGTTTACATGAAAATAGTTATTTTTTTTTCTTTTTTTACCAGAAACTTTCGTAAAAATCTCTCTTTTGAAAAATTTAAGAATGTGGTTTATCATTATATTTCCCAAATCTCCTTACATAAACTAGCTTTCAAAACTTTTTATGAATTCTGTTGAGAAGATTCTTTATTGTTAAAGTATTCTGTTTCATATTATATTTATCATGAGTTTTATCACTATTTCAATTATTTAAATTTTTACTCTTAATTAAGAGTAAAAATTTCTCTCTATATCGCAAGATCACTGCCGCCGCCGTTTTGAGTGTTCACCTTAATATTGCATTTTGTTTTGCTGCGCAAAAATTACGAAGCATAGAAACTTGAAATTGCGATGGTAAGTAGAAAATTGTTCGCAGAGTACAATGAGATGAAGAAAAAAACTAAAATGTTATTTATTTGCTATTTTAACTCAGTTCGAGGATTATTGACTGTTAAACGTGTAAGAAGAAATGCTGTGTAAACCACTTTACACGCCGCAGGAATAAAACTACAGAGCTGAAATTTGATAAGCTGAAAGGGCTATGTTTGTTTGAATTTAAACGAGATTTTTTTTCAAAATTCTAATTTGTTTGAAAGTTATTACAATTTCAATAGATTTTTTGCGAATTCTTCCTCATTTCTTATTCTATGTTACATTTTATTTTGAACTATGTTAAATTTTGTTTTGAATTTTTGCAAAAACTTTATAACTCAGAAATTTGAAGTTACGATGTCTTGGTGTAAAATGTACAAAGAATTCGATTGAATAAAAAAAATTAAGATTCGGTAATTAGTTCGAAAAGTATCAACTGTTAAATTTGAAGTATCAACTGTTAAACTTGAAGTTGGCTGATCCAATACAATGCCCGCTAAAATGCAACTGCAGAGTTAAAATTTTGCATGTTGAAAAGACAATTTTTAATTATAAACTCAATGTGAGTTTTTTTTTTCACGTTTTTCAATTTTAAGTGCGTTTTTTTGTGATTTTTTTTTCATTTTTTCTTGTTTTAAATAATGATTATTTATAATGATTGTTGTTCTCAAAGAATTTGTCTTTTTTAAGATCAACATTTCATTTATATAGGCTTCATTTAATGTTAAAAGTAATAAAAAATATATTTAAGAAAATGGATCCATAAAAGATGAAGATGGCTTCAGTTTATGACTTTTCATTCAAATCCCTTAGTTTCGTTACGACAAAACACATTATATAAAATGTTCCTACATAAATTTATTATTATTATTAGTAGTATTATTTTATTTCCAATGAGCTGCACAATCGGTCTTGCCGATGAGCAGACCTAGTGCGTTCTCCAGAGGTGGTATCCACTCTTTCAGGACCACCACAATGGGTGAGATTCCGTTGGTCATTTTAATTTGGACGTCTAGTTTCTGCCACACTAGATGGCAGCACCGAGACTCTATTTGGATGCAAAAGTGCGCTAGGAATTTAATTTTGCCGGAAATGCCAAGAGCCAATAAGGCACTCCAGGGATCTTTTAAATGCCGCATAATCACACGACGTGGCCGCTGAGAATTTTCTGCATCCCGAAAATCCGGTGTCTGGGCCGGGGTCGAACGTCGACGACAAACCAACTGCGCCACCCAGCCACAAACGAAAAAAGATGAATTTATATATAAAATATATAATTATAAATTTATCATAATTATATATTTTATACATAAATTCATCTTTTTTCTTCTTCTTTCTTTTGAAAGGTATCGAATTTAAAAAAACAATGATGAATGTGAGGTCACTAAGTGGGTCAGCGAGTTGAGCGAACAGGGGACGGAATTTTTATTCTTAATAAAATGCTTAAATTCTGCTTTATTTTATATTTAATGTTGAACGTCATAAATTTTGTCTTCTACCTTTCTTTCAGGATGAAATCTGTGCTGTGATAGACGTCTTAAAATCGCACGGTGGAAAACCTATGGATCTTAAAAGCCCTTTAGCTCCCAGCATGTCCAACAACATTATGGCCTTGGTCTTTGGTGTACGGCACGATTTCGATCACCCAGATAGAGTTTTACTGAATGAAAACGCAGAGACTATTAATCAGTACATAGGACAAGTCGGTTTATTGCAACTCTTCCCATGGTTGAGATATTTACCGTTCGTCAAAGGACCAAAGTATACAGCTGCTGTTAAAGCGTTTGAAGGCAGTCAAAATCTTTTCCAGTGAGTTTCATTTCACTATAATTAAAATGTTACTTGACATGAAATATTTTTACATACTAACTTTCAAAGCTGCTAGAATTGTCAATGAAAAAGTGGTATAATGACACTTTTTATTCCACTATATTCAACTACAACAGTCAAATATCCTAAAATAAGATGGTTATCAAACTGTTAACTGTGAGAAAAACCGTTTATTAACTGCTTCCACCTGATACGGTGGAAGCAGTTAATAAACGGTAAAAGCGCCAACCGACCAGTCCCCGGGATAGTCTGGTCGGTTGGGCGCTGGGCCCATGTCCGAGAGATCGTGGGCTCAAACCCCGCCGGCCGAAGACTCTCCGTGTAGTAAAGTGACTGATGCACGTTAAGTCTGTTGAGTCGCAAAAGTTCTCCATGTTCCCATAACAAATCAATACATCTGGGGATCGATCGTTCTCTGATTCAGGTCAAAATTACGATGTGTGGATGAATGAATGAATGGATGTATGAATGCGTTAGCCCTATAAACGGGTAAGACGTATGGTGTGGCAGAATTCGAATTCTTGGCCATAGATGGCGCCACTAGAAAACAAGAACAATCGCATCCCCCTCTGCCTAAACAGGCATACGTCAACAATTTAATACGATTAAGCAACCAGAGTTTTATCGCGTCAAGTAGGCCCACCTCTGAGTTCCTTTCAGTTGGGTACATATTATAGCCGAGAAAACTAATCTGTCAATGTCATGGCCGTTGGAACGGGTGTTCAAGTCACAGCGTTGACACCATGCAAAAAATACGACAAAAAATACAAGATACGACAAAAGATGAAAAAAGTACAACATCGCAATATTTTATGATTTTTAATTAAATATCAATTATAATTGTTCTACTATTATTATACAAGGTGGATTTTAGGATAAAAAAACTAATCACACGAACAAGTAATTAATTTAGAAAAAAATTATCTGCTCTAATATCCATAATTTTACTTTGTTATTTTGAATAGAGGACAATTTTACCTTAATTAAAACTTTACATTTTAAATATTTATTTAACAAGCAAATGTTTTAAAAAGAATTGGGAAAGTTTCGTTTTTATGAACTCTGGAATAAAAATCATTTTAATTTGAAGTAAAAAACTGTCTTGTATGCCAGCATTGAACTTTACAGAAAAAAACTGTAATTTAAAAGCGGTGCCTGTTTTTAAGCTGATGAATACTGTAATTTTAACAACAACAAAAATACTCTATGAAATAACTACGTCATCATTGTGGCCAGTGAGAGCCAAGAGTATAATTCGCCAGTTTATGCCGGAATTCAAACCTAGGGCACCCCATGCCCTGTGGGTCAGAAGACTATGATCATGTGTGTAGGCAGTTTTAATATATCCCAAATCATTCCAAACATTATATATCATAATATTATATATAATAATCATTCCAAACATTAAAATTTACTTTTTGAATCGACAAGAGTATAATTTAATGAAAAATACGTTAAAAAAATTGTTTTAAATGTAGCTTTTAAATTTTTATTTCAGAAATATATATAGGAATTTCACTTTACTGTTACATTTTTATCAGAGTAATTAGTGTTAAATTATAGTACAATTTTTCAATCTGTTGGATTAGTTAATACTCTTGACAAACTTATAGTTTATATCTTATCATTTGCAAACCTGCCAACTTTTACGCATTTGGCGTAAAATTTTATTTTTATATTTAAAGTGATAGTAAATATATACTATTTTTTTCTTTTATAAATTTAATTTTTAAATGATTTTGATCACCACTACTCTTAAAAAAATTAAACATATAGATAAATATGTGCTACTATCATGGTTGTCAGCTTAAGCTTTTTCAAATGCAACGTATTTCTTTTTGCTTAAAATTGAAATTTTAATTCCACTTTAATACCACTGTCAAAAATCATAATGGAAGGGATTAAAAGTTGGCAGGTATGCATTTGACATTTTACAATGTTTGAATGACTTTCGAAAATTAGTTCTAAACAGTTCCACAAGATAATTAGCTAAACTTTTTTTTTGTTGTCTTCTTTGATGTTTCTTCTTTCGAAAAAACCTGCCCCATTTTGCCCGTATTGCAAAGGTGGACTAAATATACCAAAAAACAAAAATTATGTTTTTTTCTTCATGTTTTCGTGTTATTTTGTAATATTACTTAGGAAATATAATTTTCTTATTAGGAAATATAATTTTCTTATTAGGAAATATAATTTTTAATATAAAATTACGAAAATTATTATATTTTAATTGCTATATTTAATTATTTAAACGTACTATATTATTTTTTTACATTTGCTCGCCATATTTCAGCCGTCATTTTGTTCTTTTTTTTTTGGGGGGGGGAGGTATTTTTAGTATATTTCAGAATTTTAACTATGAATTCAATTTACCTGCACATAAAAACCCTTCAATACAAATTTTGTCGAAATACTAATTTTGACCACGAAACCTTGGATGCTGTGCCACGTGTTCTTCGCATATTTTTGACTCTTTAAAGCTGTGAACAGCTTTAAAGAGTCAAAAATATGCAAAGAAAATATGTAAAAAAACAGAACAAGAAAACTGAATTTTTTTGCAGGGCGCACGTATGATTAAAATAAGAAAAAAATCTGCATTTATGCTTATGCAGTTATTTCTTAAATTTAAATTTTAAGATATTATACTTATTATTTTTACATTTCAATTTTCAGCAGTAATTTATTTTTGAACACTTAAATTTATAGTTGTATTTTACTGTGAACAACATAAAAAATTTCCCTATATATATTTTAAAATTATGTGGGAAAAATACACATTTTATGTATGTAAACGTATTACTCACAGTAAAATATTTCTGTACTTATATCATAATTAGTATCACTTAAATCTGTGAGTATATTAAAATTCAGTGCATGATATAGTTTTTTTTTTATTTCTTAACAGCAAATTGATAAAAGAACATAAGCAAACCCTTGAGCCCCAAAACATACGAGATTATGTTGATAGATACTTAATAGAGATGGAGTCCCGAATACAGAAAGATCCAAAAACAACTTTTAATGGTAAGATACCAAAAGATTCTTACTGAAAATCATTTTTTGAGTAAACAAACCTTTGATACCATTCTACATCTAGCTGCAGTATCTTGAATTATAAGATACCAAAAGATTCTTATTGAAAATCATTTTTTGAATAAACAAACCTTTGATACCATTCTACATCTAGCTGCAATATCTTGAATGGCAAAATACCAAAAGATTCTTATTGAAAATCATTTTTGAGTAAACAAACCTTTGATACCATTCTACATCTAGCTGCAGTATCTTGGCAATGGCATAACTAGAAAATTTTCTAAATGTTCCAAAAATTTTAAATTTCTACTTTTTCTGTTTGCATGACAGTTTTTTGTGAGCCAGAGCCTTTCCTTGAACCTTCCTCCATTCTCTTTTCTTTGTGATTGTTCTCTAGTTAGTAATCCTTAGGATTTTCAAATCTTTTTCATAGTCAAGCCATCTGATCTTAGGCCTACCTCTAACTCTAGTTCCCATTAATTTGTAATTGAAGATCATAAATGTCAAGAAAAAAGGGTCTATTCGACAGATATGACTCGTTAGATTTAAGCGAGTTGCTTCGATGTATTTGTTGATTTGTTTCCTTGATAGCGTTTACAGGTCAAAATTATGTCGTTGTCTCCATGAGTCATCCAACATTTATAGTACCGAAATTTTTTCTCAAGGATTTTTTCTCAAAAACATCAAGACTCGTAATTTAGTTAGATTGCTCGTGATTTAATTAAAGATTATGATCAATAAGTTAAGACAGGTCTAATGATTGTTTTATATAGCAATATTTTTGTTCATCTTTGAATTTATTTTGACTTTTGAAATGTTATTAAGCTGTGAAGGCATCGAAAGCTGCTATTTTAAATTTTAGTTTCTGTTTTTATAAATTTCTTAGTGACTAAATAATTACACAAAAGTGCATGATTTTTTTTCGCATAAAATAGTAATCATGAGCTTTGAAAAATAAATTATAGAAAATAAAAAGTTTTTTACTTCATTTGTGTAGGATTTTAAACCAAAAATTATCCATTTGGTTTTTGCCATTCCTATTTTCTTCACGCGCTTATCAGAAAACTTTTTATTTAACAATATTGTGTAAAAACTTTACTGCTATATTTTTTTTCATCATCTATGAATAAAAATGTGAGCATAGTAGTATGTTGATGAATATCAATAATGCATTGAAATATTTATCCCGTAAAATTTTTATCATCAGTGCAAAATAAAAAGAATTTCAGTTGAAATTAAGTTGAAATTTTTAATTCAGTTGAAATTCGAGCACGTTAGCAGCTTAACATTAGTGCGCAAAAATATTAATCCTCAATGTTTCTTACCATTTCTGCAAATTGAAAATTAGCCTTTCATATAATTAAGTTTAAATTCAAGCAAGCTAATTTCGTATTTTTTTACTATCCGAACAAAATAAAAAGACTAAAATGGCATAACTAGAAACATTTCTAAATGCTCCAAAAATTTCAAATTTCTTCTTATACTTCTTATGTTAGCATGGCAGCCCTTCGTGGGTCAGAGCCTTCTGGAACTTTCTTCCCTTTTGTTCTTTTTTTTTGTGATTGTCTCCAGTTAGTAATTCATAGGAATAATGAAAAAGATGGCTCTCAGGTAATTCAATTGATATTCAAGCACATTAATAATAATGCTAATCCTATAATTTTCATATCATACGTAAAAAAAGAAAAAAATGCTTTTTAGATATTTTAGTAAAAGTTGATTTTTCAGCAATTAGTAGTTGATATAGTTCTTTTATTCTGTTATTGTTATAACGAACGTATTGATATAACGAACTAATAAAAAATAAATCAGTTGGAGACTAAGTATCACCGTAAACTTGCAGGTAATGTATTAAAAGTATTTAATAAGCTCGTAGCGCTGGATTTGAACATTTACAGATGCTATAAGTGAAATCAAGAGTTTTGTGTATATGTCTAAAAAATTATGAAATGGAATATTATGAAAACATTTAGCACTCACAAAAGCGAAGAGCATCACTAAGTTTCAGATGAAAACAGGTTTGACTCGACAGTTGACATAGTTGATCCATTGTCTTCGTAATTCAACTTGAAAATACACCAATACTTAACACCCCTCTAAGATTAACTGTTCATCAACAATGACGAAACAAACAATTCAATTAAGTGACGTTATAGAATCGGATTCCGGTCCAGAGGGGCCGGGTTCGGTCCTCTAGTCCGCTAAGACTCACTGAGTACATGCGATATACGTGCTCGTAAAATCTGTGGAATCGGAGGTCCTGTGGCTTGTTGTTGAGCAGTGGCATGGGTACAGGGTTCTGGAGAAAATGTCCTTCTCCTTCTTATCTCTGTTTAAATTCAGGAAGTAGAGATCAGAACCCTGAGTAAAGATGGTGCTGCCATCTTTACGTGGGGTTTTGAACTGAGATATACTTTCATCATGAAAGTGGTCTCTTGTCAAACGAAAGGCGTAGCTTCCTCACTTAACTCGCAAAAAGGTCAAAGGCTGGGGAGCTCGGCTTGTTCCAGTGTCATTCGAAACAACAACAATAACATCATTGAACAGTGCTACATCATAAATAGCCAGTAGAACAGAAATATATCAGTCTTTTAAGAAATAGTTTAATGAGACGTAGACCTGAAGGTTTAAATTTTCATTTAGTAGCCAGTGGACGTAGACTGTAATGCCTTAATGACCATTTGTTCCTCAAACTTAAAAAGTCGGTGACTGATATCAGTAGGTTATTTTAATTTAATAGCCATTTGATGCAAACTTTTTTTTGGTTGGGATTATATATATATATATTTATATAATNCCTTAATGACCATTTGTTCCTCAAACTTAAAAAGTCGGTGACTGATATCAGTAGGTTATTTTAATTTAATAGCCATTTGATGCAAACTTTTTTTTGGTTGGGATTATATATATATATATATATATAATTAATCCCAACAAAGAAAAAGTTCAAATTCATAACAAAATTCAGTTAAATTTACTTACTTTAAAGAACTTTATATAAAAATATTTGGGGAGGTAAGATGCATTAAATGTTGGCATTACACCTTTGAAATATATGAATTGTTAAGGAATTCCCCTTTCACAATAATCTTTCCAACACAAGTTGATGGATTCTGAAATTGATGGATTCAAAATATTGAATGGAGACGTTAGACTTTTCAGTGAAAACATTGTTTTCCAGAGTCTCTTTCGGCATTGATCTACTTTTATTATTACACGATTTATATAAAAATAGCTGGAAAAAAGTGATCCGTTGTTTAGATAATTTAGGTCGCTACTTCTTTTTTCTTGAGTCACCACGTCGCGAGTGACTATTTTCAGGCCAAAGTGAAGTATAATGTCTCAAACTTGAGTTGCATAAAATATTTTTGAAAAAAAAATTCACTGAAGTAAACTTAGAAATATAAAATGAGAAATTCACGAATTTCGAATAAATAATTGAAAAAAATGAATATTAAATGATACATGAGGTGTATTATTTTTAAATATTCAATAATTGAATGCTTCAATATTGAATACTTAAAAACACCATGGGCACCATCAGATTTCTTGTGATTACGTTTCAGTTTCAAATTTTGAAATTGAGATCAAGAAATTTCTTACGATGTGTAAAATACGACTTTTTTTAAATTAGGTTTATCAGGAATCAGTTTCATATTTTGACACATGAAATTAAATTCTTTAAAATGATGTAAAATGTTGCATACCTTACAATTAAATTTGTTTTACTATTTATTAAATAAAATAATAAATATAATATTTTTGGTAGGGAATTATTTTGAGATAAATTGATCTGCAATTGTCTGCAGAAATTCGCTTAAAAAGATGTCAAAGCACATCGAAATATTCAAAAATTGAAATTAGGATTAAGGGGTGTACTTTAAACAGTTCTTCTGATTAAACTATTGGGACCATATATCTCAGATTACTGATACCCCCCTTTTTTTAAGGGTATGGAATCGAAAATCCATCAAAAAGTTATGTTTGTTTAGAGAACATACGTTTTTGTGAGAAATTTTATAATTTAAAATTTCGTAGGCACAAATAAATTAGCATAGAGTTTACTCTCCTTCAAACCATTAATATTGAGTCCTGGTTCGTTAGATCAGGGTTCATTAGATCAGAAGCTGTTCAGAATGGTATGTGTTTTGGTGCATTGTACACTAAATATGCACCGAAGAGCCATTACATTATGACCACCCTGCTAATAACATGTATGACCACCTTTAGCCCTCAAAACTGCTAGCACCAAGCGCTCACCAACTGGTCCTACAATTCCCTTACATTGCGAGGAGGTAACGTGGCAGCACGAATTCGGCTTTCCGAGTAGGACCACAAATGCTCTATTGGATTAAGGTCAGGTAAATTTGGGGGCCAAGACATGACTTGAAAGTCACTGGAATGTTCATCGACGATTCGATCCTTATGACATGGTGCATTATCCTGTTGGTAAACACCATCCCCCGAAGGAAAAACTGCTGCGATGAATGGGTGAACCTGGTCTGCAACTATGTTCAAGTAGCTTACAGACGTCCGGGATTGTTTTATGAGGATTATGGGTCCTAATGTGCCCCATGAAAACATTGTTCCTGGGCGAGCCCATTGTAATAGATGGAGGGTGGTCATAATGTAATGGCTCTTCGGTGTACATTTTAATGTAATTTTATAACTGTACCTTTTTTTAATTAATGTAATTTTATAATTGTTTATAATTGTATCTTTTGAAACAATTTTAAATGCAAATGCAATTTTCAATGTACATTTTCTTTTATTTTCAAATATAAGTAATTCTCTTTTCGGTTATGTACTTAAGTGCATTTTTAATTATTTAACATTAACTATCTGTAATTTATTTCACCAGAAAATACGTTAGCTGATAGTGCTTCTGATTTGTTTGGAGCTGGAAGCGAAACAGTGTTTACTTCTGTTTTGTGGTGCGTCTACATCATGGCAGCTTATCCACAACTTCAGAAAAAGGTGCAGAAAGAAATCATGGATGTCATTGGACCTGATAGGATGGCAGAATTATTAGATCAGAAATCAATGCCATTCACGTATGCAACCATCTTAGAAGTCTTGCGCTTTGTAACGATAGTACCACTAAATCTTTTACATTAGTAAGTATCTGTATTTTGAAAGTTAGTTTTCATGTCCATATCTAACCGGAAACAGCAGTTTTATTGCAGTTTAATGTTTTCTGACCAACTTGGCGAACGTGACAAGTTATTCGCCAAATCATTATATAAAAACACTTACATCAAAATGTATTTGAAAACAATTTTTTACGATAATTGCTAGAAAATGTAAAATTATCATAAAGCTAAGATAATTTGAATGAATAAAGTAGTATATTTCGAATGCGCACGAGCAGCCAGTTCTAGATGGGAAAGAATGAAATTTTCAGGACATGGATTGCTGTTTATTTCTTTAACCTTATTGATATGCTCTACTTCTAAGTTTGTAACTGTTGTATTGGATTCACCTCGTATTTTTTATTTGATTTTATCAAGAGATACTATCAAAGTACACAGCTTTAATATTTGTGTTTACTAAAATAAAAAATTTAGGGAGGAAAAATTTTGCATATTTTTGCATAAATTGTATGAATTGAATGAAAAGGAAGAAAAAATAATTTAACTCCAAATGTTTCACTTGTCATGTCATTTGTCATGTCAACTTCATACATGTAGGATATTCTATAATAATCACACTTAGTACACATATTTTTAAATTAAAGTGACGTTAAAAATATACACATTAGATGTCCCAAAATGAAAATAATATAGTCGCTTACGGAGCACTCTGATATGGCATTTTGCTTAAAAATTGCGTAAACTATTTAGTCAAAAAAGTGCTGGGAAAGTGGACTTGAGTTTAGCATTCAATGTATAAGAAAGAATCATTCATTCAAAAAGCATATAAAAATTTATTTATTTTTTTTCTGTTAAGCAACGTAAAAAAAGATGAAGTAAAACAAAAGAAGTAATAGAATATTTTTTGAGAAAAAAATAAGTATTCTAATTTCTTAGTAACATTCCTGGAAAAAGACACACCCATTTCTAATAAGGTCAAAACATCTAAATATAAATAATCTAATAATAAGATTAAAAGACTTGCCCTCTTATATTTTGTGAAGTAGTCAACGTGATTATGTAAATATATTTTATGTATAGCTTTTATTTATGAAAGGTGGTTGATAATTTGGTTATTATTTAAAGAAAGAAATTGATAAAGATTTTTCAATAATTGATGACTGCTAGGGCATTCAGATGTATTTTTAAACACGATTAGGGTAAACTAACCAGTGAAGGAACACTTAAGCTTCGCTTACCCTTTAAAAAATCATATTAATTTCAAAATTCGTAATTTTAGTTAAATGACAGTGTCAACATATTTGCTACTAATTGCAAATTATGTAAAAAAATTGTAGAGAACTTACATAATATTGTTTTAAAGTTTTGGAGGTTCAAATAACAAGTAGTAAGAAGACCAAGTGAAGGAACAGCTCTTACCAGGGAAGGAACACAAAATTTCCCAGTAAAGGAACATTTAATTTTGGCTATTTTTTAATGCTCTTTATGAATTTAATGCTCTTTATGAATGTCTAAAAACAAGCCGATTCTTGAAATTATAACATACAAATACTTGGAAAGTGTAAACTTTTTTTTGTAATCATGAATTGAAAAGTAAAGTGTCAACATATTAACACATACTGTTCCTTCACTGGGAAATCTATGCCCAGTAAGTTATCATGCCTGTTCCTTCACTGGTTAGAAGTTGTTTTTTGTATTTTTAACATACTTTTGATGCAAAACATCACTAAAGGTACAAGAAAATTAAAGTTTTTCTTTCATTTTCATTAACTTAGAAAAAACTCAATAAAGGAACACACGTTCCTTCACTGGGTTTTCATCGTTTGGTGATCCATTGAATAAGCAACCCCTTATCTCAGTACTTGATTATGCTATGATGCTTAAAAAATAAAACGTAACTTCAATAACTATTTTGAATTCTTATTTTCACAGTGAGAAAAATAAAACTATTACATTCAATTAATTCCACTTCAAACATATAAATACAGACACTCACCTTATAATTTTTGAAAAGAAACAAGGTGTTGCAGAGATAATAACAAATTTAAAAAAATTTCCAGAGAAGTCCAGGTAATCCAAAATATTGCTAGATGACTTCCTATTGTTTGGCAGTAAGCTACTGTTACCAATCAATCTAAAGAAAAACTTTCAAATTCTTATTTTTAATCAATATACACTGGTGTGCAAAACTTAGGCAACAAATGCGTTTTTTGTCATAACTCTACAAGAAATCATCCGATTGACATGAAATTTGAATATGATGTACATTATTTTGCACTTAAGTGATGGTAAAAGAATAATGGCGCAGAAATGAATATAAAGCTTAAAGTAGGGTATGAACAAGAAAAGGCTTTATTTGACATATAGTGGCGTTACACATGATTGCCTGAAGAAGCGCAAGTACAACTGGCAGATGTTCCCTAGTATGGGATATGCCCTCCCCTTACTGTAATTGTTGCTTGGCATCGTCTCTCTATGCTAAGCACCAGATTATCCAAGAGTTCTTGGGGGTAAACGTCTCCATTCCTCCTTTAACGCATCTTTCAGCTGATGGGTGTTACCAGGAGGATACTGTCGTGTCGCAAGACGTCTCCCTAATGCATCCCACACATGCTCTATGGCATTTAGATCTGAAGAGTAAGCTGACCAATCCACTCGTGTGATATCTTCACTTTCCAGTAGCTCTTGAACATTAGCAGTACGGTGTGGCCGGGCATTGCCATCCATAAAAATGAAGTCTGGTCCAATGGCACCTCGGAACAGACGCACATGGGGTAGGATTACCTCATTGCAGTAGCGGTCTCCAGTTACAGAACCTCCGTCGAAGATCTGAAGCTCAGTCCGCAAGTTCAACATAATGCCATCCCAGACGACAACTCCACCGTAACGATCTCTTTCCGCAATGTTATTGGGATGAAATCGAGCTCCAACCTCTCTCCAGATCAACTGACGTTGAGAATCGTTTGTAGCACTAAAACGACTCTCATCTGTGAAGAGGACGCGACTCCATTGATGAGGTGCCCAGGTTTCGTGTTCTCTGCACCACTCTAAACGGTGCCGCCGATGGCTAACTTTCAAAGGGATGCTGCGTTCAGGACGACTAGCAAATAAGTCACCTTTGTGGAGGCGTCTGGCCACTGTAAATCTTGATGCTTGTCGTCCTGTGGCTGTGCACAGTTGCTGAGATATGGCGCTCGCTGACGGTTTCTGCTGACGGCTGACGTTGAAAACGGTTTCTTTTCGCCTGGAGGACAATGTAACGGTCATCTCTTGGTGTTGTTTTCCTTGGACAGCCACCACCAACCTTCCGAACAGCTGTACCAGTAGTTTTAAAGGCATTCCAAGCACGAGAAACAACACTTTTGTTGATCCCGAACTCTTCGGCGACACTGGTCACACTACGCCCCTCCTCAAGCTTCCCAATCATTCTTCCTCGAGTAAAGTCGTCTAAATGATTTCCTGAAGACATGTTTCACAAAATAATCACTTGCACTTGCAGCGAATGTCTTTAACTACGGTGCTCTTCATCCTTTTATCACAGCTTTGACCTGCGTGAGCCGATTCACAAGGTTTACGTACACTTACATCACCTACGACGTTTTATTTCAAAAATTTGCATACAAATAATCTTTCTACTGAATTACGTGCATATTATACTGCAATTTCATGGCTATCTTATACTTTGTTGGAGATCTGCGGCTGAAAAACCCCTTGTTGATTAAGTTTGCCACACCAGTGTATATGAAATGTTCCTTCACTGGGTAGTGTTCCTTCACGGGTTGGTTTACCCTACATAAGTTCCAAATTTTCAATTTTTGAGTAGACACTTGTTATTCGCAATTTATATTTACTTCAAATCCATTGAAAATTGCATCATCACTAATTGCACTCAGCAGTCTCAAGCATACTATCACACAATCTTTATTACACCATTTACCGCCTATTAACTTCAATCATCAAATCCATTGCACATTGCTTCATTACGATAAAATTAGCAGTCTTTATTGCACCATTTACCTCCTATTAATTTGAATACATCCCAGTTTTTTTTTAAATATCTTTTCAAACACATGCAAGATAGAATACATCAATGCAATATTAACGTTGATCTGACTTTCAAAACTGCTTCTATTCACTTTTGCATCAGGAAAAATGGTTAAAAATATTTTTATCGCGTAGTTCTTCAGTAAAAATTTTGGAGCAAAAATTTGGTCACTGAATCATTTGGTGCAAAATAAACTAGATGTAAAGGTTTTTTTTTTTTTTATTTCCAATGGCAAGACAAAAAGGTACAAATAGAAAGATGAAATAAATAACGAATACAAATGTGTACGTAGGATAACAAAGAAAGAAAACCGAAGTCATTGCCCTAAAAGTTCTCTTGCTTCCCAATATCTTGAGGACCCAGTGTGTCCATGAAGGGCCCCACATAGAAGCAGGTGGTTCCTGTCCAATTTCTCTCCAGATTTACAAAGTGGACAAAAAGGCGTGGTGGAAAGGCCTATGCGGTATAAGTGAGCAGAAAGACCATCGTGGCCTGTATATAAGCGGATGGCCGCAACTGCATCACGTCTACTAGATGGAAAGGTGAACCATCTGGTCATATGCATCACAGATGAGAATGTTTGAAGACGAAATTATCTGTAGTACATGGTGATTCCATGCCATCGGAATGACTTTAAGTTCGAAAATTAGAGCAAACACAAAAAAACCTTAAGTGTAAGGGCAGAGATTTCTAAAAAAAGGTAGGTAATTTTTATGAATCGGAGATTTAAGAAAAAAGTACAAATTTTTATTCTCAATTGTGCAATGAAATCTTTGCGTAGTATTCATTATAGAGTTTATAACTTTGCTCATTTTGCTTTGTTCATCATTAATGGAAAAACTGAAATTGAAAAACAGAGTTTAATATGTATTAAAATGAGTTTTATTTCTACTGCATACTTATAATTCATATGTTTACGAAAACTAATATGTCATGGAAAACCAAAATTTTAAACTTCTCAAATTCATTTCCAGCACCACAGTGGACACTAAGATTCGAGACTTTTTCATACCACGTAATACAGCAGTGCTGGCTAACTTCTGGGCAGTTCATCATGATCCAAAATATTGGGACGATCCAGACACTTTTAAACCAGAAAGATTTTTGTCAAAAGATGGAAAATCTGTTATCAAGCCTCCTCATTTCATGGCATTTTCTCTTGGTAAGTTAATGGATTCAACTTTCTGAAATTAAAAATTCATAGCTGCAGGCGTTCGGAGAGGTACGTTATAAACACATAAAAGCAAAAACAAGTCATAATCGAGATTGTGTTGGTCAATCACGAGACAGATTTGCTTCTAACGATCGATGCTTATCGATCGTTGTATTGTTCATCGCAACTTACGATCGAAATTTGTTTTCATTGCACAAAAGTAATAGTAATGTCAAATAGACACGAAAACCTCACAAGAATGATCAATAGTGGCAGTTTATCATTTTATGTTGAAAAACGTCTTATCTGGCTTGGTAATTTTTTTTTTAACGGAAGGCACCGAACTTATCGTTCTTCCGCATGGAAGGTGCCAGAAGTGTTGCTCACTTTGAGCTGCCTGGTGAGCACCTTGCTACCAAGTTCACGGAGACGAGCAACATTACCCACGCCACACTGTCACAGGTACCTATTAATTGGGTGAGCCACATTGACACATCACACCCAACAGAGGACAACACATAGAGAGAAATAGCCATGTTCTGAGCGGGATTCGAACCAGCAGCCATTGTCTTCGCAGTCAGGCACGATAAACGTTCTGCACACCTGGCTGTCGTGGTAAAAAAATGCCATAAGGAATGCGGGTGTGAAAATCATTTATGATATATACCAGTTAGCTGAGATTCGGAATTATATGGTATTAGTTGTAACTATATTTTCAACTCATGCTGAATCTTAAAATTTCATGAAATTTTTACATTTATAACATCGGTTTGTTTTATATTTTCAGGTAAAAGAGTTTGCCCCGGAGAAGCCATGGCTTATATGGAGATTTTCTTGTATCTTGTAACCATTTTGCAAAAATTTGACATTTCTTTCCCTGACGGTTATAAGCCTAGCTTTAATTCCCGTCTAGCAATTTCGCTTAGACCAGAGGATTATAAGATTCGATTTTTGAGCAAAAATTAATTTTGTACAAACCAATTTCCCCTTTTTTTTCAGCATTTCTAAACTAACGAGAATTTTTTCATACCTTTGAAAAAAATTAAAGAATTTTTTGATCAAATTAGGTAGTGTTATAAAATAAAAATTATCTTCATCAATTAAAAATTCTCTGCTTTATTTTTCCTCAAAAGAATAAAACCGAAGGTCTTTCATCAGTTTTGTTAGAAACATCAAAATTTATTTCTATTTCATATTTTATCTCCAGTCACTTACAGAGCAACACTCAAAATTGTTGTTACTTTTTAAAAACGAAAACAGAAAAAACTATTTTGGTACTGCCTAAATCATATTCTTCGTTCATCCATCATTCTTTCCCATGCTTGTGTGCGTTTTCAATATAGAAGATTCCTTTACAGTCCATTTTCAAATTTTTAACCAGTTCATTTGGTATTGTTTTTCTTAAGTGACATGTATATAAATCTCATTTGTTGCATACAAGTAATATGCTAATTACAATAAATAGCACGACTATGTAAAATGTTATTTACGAATAGACGATTATGTAAAATGTTATGAATATTAAATGTTTTATTAATCTGGTTATGTGATTTTATGTCTAATACATAACAGTACAGAACAGGGTGTCATTTAATCATCAGCATATTTAAAATAAAAAAATATTATACTCACTAGGGATCTCAAATTAATATTTAAACTAAGTAAAAGGAGAAGTAGTAACAAAACATGAAAACGTGAAGCTCTTAAAAAAGTTAAGATTAAAAACTTCGTATCCGATTAGATTATCAAACGAAGAAGAGAGGAAGTGAAAGTTGTTATAGGACACTGACTTTGATATTTTTAATCCTCAATAAGAATTAGATTGATTTTTATAAAAAAATTTCTAAGTTAAATATTACTTTGCGACCATGTATCATTGAGACTTCGAGGTTTTTTGACCGCTTGTACTTATTTGAATTTATTTTTTACAACATTTTCAAAAATATGTTTTAGGGATGGTCATTAGGGCACACTCTGATTGAATAAAGCATGCTTAAAATTTAAACCTGTCCTAATATGATTTAATTGTTGATGCGTTATTCCATATAAAATTATTTATCATTGTTGTGGTAGTTTTTCACAAAGCACCTCCAAGTTTGAAGAAGCGAACATATATATATACCTCCGAACNAAACAATAAGTTTCATTTATTGCGCATAAGCTGCAAGTAAACAGAACTCATTAGATAAGTTCAAAATGAAGATAAAACAAAGGAAAATTACAGACATATGAAAAAAGGGGGGAATAGAAAAATAATAATAAAAAAAAAATAACAAACAACTGGGAAAAAAAGGATAAAAATTTTTTTTTAAAAATCCGGAAAATAAAAGATATAATCTTTTCATCAGCCCACACGATTATATCAGCAAAAAAGAGTGCTTTCTGATATTGTATCAATATAGCGAAAGCAAAATATATCAATACAATAGTGTGAGGAGCACTCAAAAAATTTTTTACAAAAATTACAACAAATAAAATAGAACACAATGAGTAAAAATAACACGTAAACACAGAAAATAAAATAAAATAAAGAGAAAAAAGAGAATAAAGCATAAAACACAATCTATAAAGCGAGTAGTGAATTCAAATGTACTTACATGAACGGGAAATTTTTCAAGAATGATTTAAAGTATTTTCGTAACAAGATTGCCAGATTGCAAAATATGAAAACAAAAGCGAAACTTGAGCGAAACTAGAGGAGTTTTGTTTTAAAGTGCCGTTCTTACTGCATTGCTGAACTGCGTTTGATTTGTTAGTTACCAAGGATGGGCCCGAAAATGGATGTGAGCAAGATAATATTATACTGGATAATTTAAAGAAGTTGACCATAAATAATTTTAGAAAATAAATATTTATTTAAGAAAAAAATATAAAATAGAAAAGAGAAACATGAATTGCCTGTTTTGCACGTATTTTTAGCTACGGATTTGCCTGAAATGAATTTGCACATGGAAAAATTATATTAATTAACAAAGAAATATTTTTGGTAAATAATTTTAGCCACTGATTTGCACATGGAAAAATTATATAAATTAACAAAGAAAAATTTTATTAGTAGATAATTTAAGTCACGGATTTGCCCGAAATGGATTTTCCTTGTGCAAATCCATTTCGGGCAAATCCGTAGTTAAAATTATATGCTAAAAAGATGTAATTTTGCATATTTTAAAATGATTTAAATAATTGCGTACCTTACAATTCGAAATTTTTTCAACCAATATTAAATGAATAATAAATATTTAATAAAATATATTTTTTTTTTGCATAGAATTTTCTGCGCATGAACACATTTTATAATTGTGTGCAAAAAGTTTTCAATTCGCTCAAACCGTTCTCGAGATATGGTGAAATACTCAAAATGAGAAATTAACACTTAGGTGTCCAAACTTTGGATCGCTCTTTTGACCAAACTACGGGGACCATATTTCCCAGATTGCGGCTACCCCCTATATTTTGGGGGGTCAGAAAACAGAATCCATTGAAGTTCTATTAGGATCCTGTAGTCCAGAAAATAAAAAATTAAATTAAAACTGTCCGCAAGATGATTGTTAGAATTATGTGAAAAAATAAAGAGTTCATCGACAAGCTTCTGTTCCAAATAAACGGGTTCTTGTAAAAACCTGTGGTCCAGAAAATTCCAAATGCCCGCGTGATGAATGTTTGAGCTATAGGAAAAACAAAAAGTTCGTTGAAGAACTTCTCTTTCAAATAAAATGGTCTCTTGAAAAAAATTTTGGTCCAGAAAATAAAAAATAAAAATATTCAAACTTTTCTCATAATGAGTGTTAGATATCTGGGAAAAACAAGAGGTTCGTTGATGATCTTCTCTCTCATGTAAACAACTTCAAGTAAAAATCTGTGGATCTGAAAATTAAAAAGAAAAAAAAAACATCTGCAATCGACTAATACAGGCGAGTGAATAGGCCGGAGCAGAAATAAATAATTTCCTGTGATAAAGCAAGCAGTGACGCCCTTAGAACTTAATCTGTCTCGATGATGCGTAGTCAATATTTGAAGCAGATATTCAAGGTTAATGTTTTACTAAAATGTTTCTAAAAGCTATTTATACTTTACTACGCATAACTAAAAAAATAAGATAATTTATTAAAAAGTCTTTTATTTTCAGCTTAACATTGCGTTTCTTTTGTTTCTTGTTCAAGGAAAATGCAGACATTTTGCTTCTTTTCTTATTGTTATTAGTGTACAATGAACAAAAAAGTGAGCATATCAATAACTTTTGGTCTAATGATCGGATTTTCACATACTAAAACTTTATCTTAATGGTTCGAAGGGTAAAACTTAAAATTTATCAATTAATTTATGTCAACGATAACTTAAGTTACAAAATCAATCATAAAAACGTGTTTTTTTTTTTTTTTTATACATAACACATACATAATTTTTTTCCGACAAATAGCGATTTCTGACCCTCAAGTTGTATAGGCTCAATTGTCTCTTCCCTAGTGACGTAGTAATTACGAAATGTAAGAATGAGGACTCGTTGAGTTCTATTCATTACTATTATTACTTCCTTGTTCTTCGAATAATTTTAGAAGTAATTTTTCAATAGACAGATGATAAGCACGTTAACGAATGCAGCTTTTTGTTGAATCGTATTTCAACAATTTCGATGTTGTTAAAAGGAGAAATATTTGACTTTTCTTTTAAAAGGTAGACATAGAATGGTAGTCGTAGGATCTAAAATAAAAACATGTCTAAACTTATCAATTTTTCGTGTTCTTCTTATACTGAACAGTGACTTACAATAATCTTAATATTGAATAGTTATAATAGAAATAAGTCATAAACAGCTATAGATAGTTTACAAACTTTTATCAGCATACTAAATAAGTCATTAAATTATGCTATTAAATATTAAGAAATTAATCCCCTTTTGCTTTTTGTGTTTTAAAAAGCAACAGTTAAAAAAAATATAACAAAATCAGCAACACATGAACTTTTTTACAAAGTTTTCTTCTATAATGTTTAAAAACGGGGAGATGTAATTTAATAAAATTAAATTATATCTCTTTATGAAAAATTAACTTTTATCTCTTTAATTTATGCTTATGTGTATTTTTCTATTATTATTCCACGTATGCTATAATGCAATCACTAACAAGATTTTTTTTTTAGTGACAGACAATGAATTTTAATTTTCGAATTTGCGGAAAAGAAAGACAGGAACACTTTTTTAAAACTAACCTAAGTAAAAAACCGAAAAAAAAGTTTTTTAAAACTTGTGAGGCATAACTTTAAATTTGTCAAAACTATTCCATACTTCAGATAATAAAATTACTTGATTATGGAAAAGGAAGTTTATTCCTTCCTTAACTTTCATGAGTGAAATTACTTCTTTGTTAGCTGAGATCACTGTTAAATGTAGGTAATACTTATCACAAAATTTGAAATAATACTTATCACAAAAGGTAATAATATCACAAAAGCAATTATAAACTAATACTACATTACAGGGGTGGCCAACCTGCGGCTCGCGAGCCACATGCGGCTCTTTGAAGGATTATTCATGGCTCTCGATAAATGTACCCGACTTCCTTTTTCATTTTTGTGCTATTATATTTTAAAAAATTATTATCGTTCCGTATGTTCCGAATTTTGGAAATTTGTACCAGAATCGAAGTATCCTGAATTAAAAAAGGCTACTTGTCGAATTATTTCAATATTCGGAACAACGTACTTATGTGAATCATTTTATTTACCTTTAAAATTCGTGAAATCCAAGCACCGATGAGTCTTAACTAACCAGCATCTCAAAGAATTATTGAGAAGTGCTGTCACTAATTAATAAAAGTACTTTAAAATTCACCAAATTTTAAAGAATTATCAAGAGAAGTAAAATAAATGTGTTTAATTTTTAAATTCAATGTACATACTAAGGTAAACAACGTTTAAGAGCACAAAAATATTTATAAATGCAGACAGCTGTTTCGAATGCTCAAAGGGCAACCTTCATCAGTGCAACAGCAAAGGGCAACCTGTTGCACTGATGAAGGTTGCCCTTTGAGCATCCAAAACAGCTGTCTGCATTTATAAATATTTTTGTGCTCTTAAACGTTGTTTACTTTAGTTTGTATTTTAGCACAAAGGTCGCTCTTGTGTATTCAATGTACATATTTTTTACTTTTATTTATATGTTTTCAATAAACATAATTTCTGTAAAAAAAAATTTAATACCTTTTTTGCATACCTTTTAAATACGTATTTAATTGCGGCTCTCTCGAAAAATTTCAAATTTTGAAAAATGGCTCGACTATCAAGGAGCTTGGCCACATATTACAAAAATAAAATTTACGAAATAATCATTCCAACATTTATTAGAGAGCGAAGAAAATCTGCCATAAATAAAAATCTCTTATCGAAGTAATTAACTAGATAAGTCACTAAACAATAGAGAGATAAATGAATATTTAGACTAAAACTTATGTTAACATCTGTTAACATAACATTTTGTTGCATTTCATCAGGCAACAGATACATCCCTATTTTTTCATCTATGTTATTATCTATATTTTCACCCTCT